TCAGAGGCACGTTAGCCTGTCTTCATCATGTGAACAAATGTAACCATCTATTATGTAGCAGTATAGCATAGGGGGCAGGGATAGCTAAGTGGTGAAGTGGACAGGCCTAGAGTCAGGAAGACTCTTCTCCAGCCTCAGACACTTATTAGTTGTGTAACCTTGGGCAAGTCGCTTAACCCTGTCTGCCTCAGTTTCTTCATCTATAAAATGAGAGGGGCAGCTAGGTGGTGCAGTGGATAGAGCACTGGCCCTGAAGTCAGGAGGACCTGTGTTCAAATCCAGCCTCAGACCAAACACCTGACACGTACTAGCTGTGTGACCCTGGGCAAGTCACTTAACCCCAATTGCCTCACTTAAAATAAAACAAAACAAAACAAAACATCTGTAAAATTAGCTAGAGAAGGATAAGGCAAACCACTCCAGTATCTTTGCCAAGAAAACCCCATATGGGATCATGGAGTGTTTTCAGTTGAAAATGACTGAACAACAACATGGCATAGGGGAAAAAGTATTGGATCTGAATCAGAAGACCTGGATTCCCAACTGTAGCCAAAACCAGATTAAAAGTGTGATTAGGAAATATTTAACATAAAAAATAAAAATATATTAGAACAGATAATGTTAATATGTGGTTTTCTAAGTCAATATGCAGCTGGCAAGGATGCTCATGCACAGTTTAGTGGCCCTGTTTGTATTTGACACCAGTGGCCTAGAAGACCCTCAGGGTCACTTCCAGCTCGAAATTTATACTCCTATTGTGTAGAGCACTCTGCTACACACTGAAAATAGAAAGAGGTCTAAGATATAGTCCATGCCACTGAGGAAATGAAAATCTAGCTGAAAAGACAAGACATATACACAAAAGATAAATACACAAAGCATATGTTCTAGACTAAGGAACTGCATTAATTTACATGTAAGTACCTAGAACATAACTGGCACTCAATAAATGCTTGCTGACTGATGTGAGGAAGGCTAGTACTGACACTCTTCCTATGTGTGAATACAAAGAAAAAGAAGAGTGATATGGTCAAGTCAAATTGGGAATTTACAGCCTATATATTCCAAAGGCTGGCACTGAATTGCCCAGTGTCTTTTCAAACACAAATTATGTTATCACAACAAAAACATGCGGTTTCTCTTCTGAAATTTCAGAAGCTGCCAAGTCAGTTCTAAAAGCAGTCAGTCTTTTAGAGAGATGAGATGTATTTGGATCACGGTTTCAGTTATGTACCCAGCTGTCAAACAGCTCTTCCAAAAAGAAAAAGAAAAAAAAAGGAGTGGCAACGTGGCTGTTATATGCCTTAAAGAGTCAGCTTTTTAGAGTACTGGCCCTGAAGTCAGGAGTACCTGAGTTCAAATCCGGCCTCAGACAAAACACTTGACACTTACTAGCTGTGTGACTCTGGGCAAGTCACTTAACCCCAATTGCTTAAAAAAACAAAAACAACAAACAACAAAGAGTCAGCTTTTTAGTACACTAAATGACTTTACACAGGAAATCTGCCATTATTGATAATGGATTAAGAACTTTCATAAGAAGCCGGTGCCTAAGAAACTGAATCCCAATTTCAGCTTGCCCAACACAGTGTTATCAAGTAGGCTATATCTACTTCCTCCAAGGTGAACAGATAGTCCTTATTTTCACTGTAAAAGTAATAGTTTTCACTCACTTGTTATGAGATCTGTTCATTTTTAATAAAAATTTTTATTGTTTTAAAAAATCACAAGCATTTTCCCAAAAGGACCTCTTCTTATAACAACATAGCAAAGTTAAACAAAATATCACACACCTACAGTCTTCTCTAGCCAGAGAAGGGAGGAATGCCTCATGGAGTCAAGAAATCAAGCTCTGACAACCTTTAATTATTTTTCTTTTCATTATTGTGATTCTTGTACATACTGTCCTGTTTACATAATTAATTCACTGGACTCAGGAGTTGGGGAGACCTGAGCTTCAAATCTAGTCTCAAACACTTACTAGTTGTGTAACACAAGTCATTTAACCTCCATCTGCCTCAGTTTTCTGATCTGTAAAATGGGCATAATAATAGCATCTACCTCCATTGTGAAGATAAAATGAGACAATGTTTGTTAAGGGCCTTGCAAACCTTAAAACACTACATATGCGTTATTGTTGTTGTAGTTATTTATACAAGTCTTCCCAAGTTTCCCTGAACTTTTCATATGCAATAATAGCCTATTATGTTCTTATATCATAACTTGTTCATCCATTTAACCAATCAACAAGCATTAACTGAGACCTGTATATCAAACAAGTGCTGGGTGCTAGGGATACAAAGACAAAAATGAAAATCCCTGCCCTCCATAAGCTTATATTCTTGTGGTGGAGAAGAACATGCATATGTACAAAACAGAAGAGAATTTTGTGGGAAAGGGCACGAGCAGCTGGGGATATCAGAAAGGCTTGTAAAGGTGGTATTTAAGTTGAACTTTTAAGAGAAAAGGAGATTGTAGGAGGCAGAGGTAAGATTAATGTAATTTTAGGCATGGGTTATAGCAAGTGAAAGGTACAGAGATGGAAGATGAGGCATCCTTTGGGGAAACAGCAAGAAGGCTAGTCTAGCTGGATAAGAATGAGAAGGAAGGGAAATAATGTATAACAGAGTTAGAAATGTATGTTGATGCTAGGCTGTGAAAGGCTTTAAAAGACAAATAGAGGAATATATGTTTGATCTTGAAGACAATCACTGGAGTTTACTGCTTAGAGAAGTAATATGTTTCAACCTGCACATCAGGAAAATCACTTTAGCAGATGTATAGATGATAGACTAATTGAAGCTGGGAGAGAATTGAAGTAAGGAAACCCACTGGGAAGTTATGTTACAGAGATAAAAGCGCAAGGTTTGACAAATGACTGGATATATAGGGGTAGAGAGAATGAGAAATCCAAGATAATACCAAGGTAGCAAACCTGGGTGAATGGAAGGATGGTGGTGCCCTTGATAGAAATAGAGAAGCTCAAAAAGATGGATGGGTTTCGACATAGGGAGAAGATAAACTGTTTTGGACATGATAAGTTTGACATACTTACTGGACATGTAGTTTCAAATGTCCAAAAAGAAGTTGGAGATGCACAACTAGTGATCAGGAAAGGAGAGAGACTATCAACCAATCAATGGGCATGTATTAAGTGCCAACAGTGGGTCAGGCCCTGTGGATACAAATTCTCAAAAAGAAAACAATCCATACCCTCAAGGAGGAGTTGAAGAGAAACTAGAGCTAGATTTACAGCTCCTTGAGGACTGGGAATATTTTTACTTTTTTCTTTGTATCCTCAGTCCTTACAAATGTCTGTTTATTGATGGACTGTAAAGCATATAGCTAAGAGCCGTCAGTAAAAAGGCTCAAACTCCCACCCGTTCCTTTTCTCTTTCCTCTCCATCTCTCTTCTCAGCTCCTCTCACCCTTCTCAGTCACTCAGTAAGCACTTATTAAGTGCCTATTACATGCCAGCCACTGTATTAAGCACTGGGGTAACAAAGAAAGGAAGAAAAAAAAAGTCTGTTCTCAAGGTGCTCACAGTCTAACATGGGAGACAATATATCAATAACTATGTATGAACAATACACACACTTGATAAACTGAGGATAGTCTCGGAGGGAAGGCACTAAGATTAACGAGGATTGGGAAAAGATTCTTGCAGAAAGTTGGACTTTAGCTAAGACTTGAAAGACAGGGAAATTAGAAAACAGAGATAAGGTTGGAGAGAATTCCAGGAAGGGGGAACAAGCACAGTGGTGTTCTGGATACAAGATGATGTGTTACTGGATCACAGAGTACATGGAGGACCGTAAGATGTACTTAGACCTGAAAAGTAAGAAGGAGGCAGGTTATGGCTTTCTACTGGATCTAATTGAGTTGACTGAATGGGAAGGAGGGGGAATATGGTCAGATCTGCCCTTTAAGGTCGGTTTAGGGGCAGCTAGGTGGTGCAGCCGATAGAGCACCGGCCCTTAAGTCAGGAGGACACGAGTTCAAATCCTGCCTCAGACCAAACACTTGACCCTTAGGGTGACCCTGTGCAAGTCACTTAACCCCAAATGCCAAAAAAAAAAAAAAGGTCTGTTTAACAGCAGAGTAGAGGAAGGAGTAGAATGGGAGAGAAACTTGAGGCAGGGAGACCAGCAGGCTACTGCAACAGTTCAGGCTTAAGGTGAAGAGGGCCAAATCCACGGTGGTGGCAATGTTAGAGGAAAAAAGGGGACTAAAACAGGAATGCCACCTCCTTCCCCCACCTCCAGCCTTGGCTGTGGCCCATTTCACATCCTTCCCAATGGTAATGGCCAAGCCCATATCATGAACTCACTAAATGCTTTCAAGATAGCAGAGTCACTAGAAGAGACAAGAAAGATTTGGTTCTCTCGTCCCCTCACATATGAAACACGTTTGGATCAATTCACGGCTCCACTAGTAGTGCTTCAATGTGCTTGTTTACCGCTGGGCCCCCCAACATTAGTAATTTTCCTTTTTTTTTTTTTTTTGGTCTACTTGCATAATATTTAAGAATTTTTGTTTTGCTTTTTTTTCCGGGGGGGGGGCAGATAGGAGTGAGCGAAAAAAAATGCTTGTAAACTGGAAACAGGAGAATTTAATTTAAAAAAAAAAGAATGACAAGAAGCTTCTACCTTCACCCGGTAATTCCCTCTCTGTCTAAAGGACTCCAACACGCAGCGCACCCAGACACCCCCCAAGCAACAATGAAAACCCAGACAGCACTAGGCCTACACGCCCACCATTCCCACCTCCCCTGGGCCTCTAAGAACACCCGGGTCGGGGCAAATTGGGGCGGGGCTACTGGAGAAGGGGCGGGGCGACGGCCAGACGCGCTCCTCGCGCGCCCTCTGCCCCACCTCCCGCGCTGCGGCGTGCAGGAAGGAGGAGGAGCCAAAGGCCGCGGCCGAGTCCCTCACGCCCTTTTCCTATCTCTGCATCCCCATGACTTTCCCTTCCTTTCCTCCCCTCCTCCAGGGCCTTACCTGGTTCCCAACTGCCTTTCGCTGTTCAGTTGCTGCTGCTTTCCAGGCGACTCGGCTTCGGGCCAGTCCACTCTTCCCGCGGGTAAAGAGGAAGCTAGTTACCGTTGCAGCGAAAGGCGCCCAGGAAGCCGCCATGTCTACCGTGGGAAGGGGAGGGGAAAGGGGCGGGGCCGGCCTACTGCGCAGGTGCTGAATGGGAGAGCTGTTCTTTTGCGTTAGCTGACGCCGCGAAAGAAGTCAAGCAATCACGCATGCTCATTAATAAACCCTCAGCGGAGCCTTGTTCTCTTCTGCTGGTCGGTGATTGGCTGGGTGGCGGGGAAGGGCGGGGCAAGTGATCAGTACCGGGTGCCTAGTGTGGATCGGAAGCTAGGTTGAATCCTCAACTTTGGAAAACAGCCAGTCCCCTTCAGCCTGCTGCATCCCCGGGTTTTCTGGCCATCCAGGTGTTTCCAAAGAAACTAGTGGTACTTGGCCTTAAAGGGGACCGAGCTCTTGGCCTCTTGTCTTTGACACTTTACTTTTCTTTATGGTCGCTCAGCAAGTCAATCCCCCAGGGTCTCTTTCCTAATAACATCTCACGTGTTTGTCTATAGTGCTTTAAGTATTACAAGGCATTTCGTCAGGAGAACCCATCTAAGGTAGGTAGTGCAAGTATTATTATGCCTATTTTTACTGAATAGAAGATTTAAGGCTGGAAAGACCCTAAACTGTCACCAAAGTCCATTCTCTTGACTATAGCTCCACCAGGATGCGGCCTTACAAATGTTACATCTTCCCCTACCACCACTGGTCATTCAATAAACATTTACTAAGCCCCTTCGTACCAGGCCTTGCAAAGAAAGGCAAAAGACAAATCTAATGGAGGAGACAAGTCCAAGAGGACACTTAACAGTCGTCCAGCCCTCTCTCTGCCAAGGCCCATTCTCTGGACTTCAGCTATACCAGGATGTAACCATATCCACTATTACCACTGGTTATGTTCATCTGGTTCTAGGATGTCAGGGCAGTTTTCGTTATTGTTTCTGACCTTTCAGAGCCCTTCTTCACTCAAATCAAAGTCAATTGCAAGTTATGTCATCTCCCTGATTTCATGGTCCTGTATGATGATGTCCAGGTTCTTTTTTTGATCATGGCTTTAAGATAATCCAGTAATTCTTAAATTATCTCTCCTGGATCTGTTTTACAAGTCAATTGTTTTTTCTGATAAGACAGTTCACATTTTCTTCAATTTTTTCTTCCTTTTGATTTTGTTCCATTGTTTCTTAGTGGAATCATTAGCTTCCTCTTGTCCAATTTTAATTTTTAAGCAATTATTTTCTTGAGTGAGCTTTTGTACCTCCCCTTTCTTTTGACCAACTCAGCTTTTTAAGGAGTTCTTAAGTGAAATTTTGTATTTGTGCTTCTATTTGGCCAACTTCACCTTTTAATGAGTTCTTTTCAGGGAATTCCTGTACCTCTTTTTTCCATTTGACCAATTCTGCTTCTCAAGGATTTCTTCTCTTCAGTGAATCTTTGTGCTCCCTCCACCACTTGGCCCATTCTGTCTTTTAAGGCATTATTTTCTTCATCATTTCCCTCTGCCTCCTTTATCAAGCTGCTGATTCCTCTTTCATGATTTTCTTGCATCACTTGCATTTCTTTTCCCAATCTTTCCTCTACCTCTCTTATTTGATTTTTAAAATCCTTTTTGAGCTCTTTCAGGAATTTTTTTGGGGGGAAATAGGAGGAGGGCTATGACCAATTTATATTTTTCTTTTATGCTTTCCATGTAGCTGTTTTGACTTTGTTGTTTTCCTCTGAGTTTGTGTCTTGATCTTCCCTGTCACCATAGTAACTTTCTATGGTCAAGTGTTTATTTTATTTTATTTATTTTTTGTTTTTGCTCACCTTTAGAGCCTATTTCTTGACATATAACTTTATGTTAAAGGTGGGCTCTGCTCTTGGGATTGAGGGGGCATTGTCCCAAGCTTCAGATCTTTCTTGCTGCTGTGTTTAGAGCTAGCCTGGGAATCTGTAGGTTTTGTTTCTTCCAAGATGGTATGATTTAAGGAGATGTGTGGTCACCGGTCTCCTGGCCTGTGCCCTGGTTTGTGAGTGACCACAATACTCTTCTCTGCCCTAGAACTGTGAACAAGGTCCCTGCACCCCTGTGGCTGACTGCAAGTACTAGTGAGCTAGTGTTCCCTGGGACTGTGACTCAGAACTGTGTATTGGCAATGTGACAGTCCTATACCCAGTGCCAGCAAAAGTCCCTTATAATCTTCTTCTGACCAGTTGTCTGACCCCCTTCTGTGGGTTGACAGTTCCAGAAGCTGCCACCACCACTGATGAAATGCCTCCAAGGTCTGCTGTTAGGCTCCAGGTCCAACTCATGAGGATGGGAGCTAGACCTCAAAAAGGAAAAACTCTGGACTTTCCCACATGGCCAAATCTCTGGCTGTTGCCTGAGGCTATAATCTGATCAACTGGCCTTTTTTTGTGGCCACACCCAATCTCCCAATTCTCTGTTACCCTTAGCCTAGTCTAGACCTCCCTATGTCCCCAGCCACTTCCCACCCTTAATCCTATCTAGGCTGCGTTCTCCCTTGGCCACCCCTGGAGTTCTATTGCCTCATAGACTATTTGGCCACTCGTAGGTCCCTCCCATAGTCTTTCTGAATATAAAGTCTATCTTGTCTCCATTAAAATGCTCTGATTCTTATAATCTAGCCACTGCTCAGATTTTTACAATCTAGCCAATAGCTCACACGTGCTCAGATTCCTTAAGAGTCTGACCAATATGGCAGATCTTTAATAAACGTTGTCTTTGACTGAAAGAAGGCTTGGCTCGAATTCTTTTGGGCAGGACCTGTGTGTCGTGATTTTGGGGTTCCAGCACCCCTAAACCTCTAGACCTCATCACAGCTACCACCCCTGTGAAATAGACCTTTCCTGCCAACCTCCTAAATTCTCCTTGGCTGGAAAATTGTTTCACCCTGACCTTTTGTTGGTTCTGCCACTCCAGAACACAACTTGAGGTGTTATTTTTAAAATTGTTTGGAGGGGAATTTGAGAGAGCTTATTCAAGTCCCTCCCTTTACTTGGCCCCCCCAGATTGTTGTCTTGGTTAGATAGAGAAATCATTCACAATTGATCATTGTTACAATATTGTTTTTACTGTGTTGAATGTATAGATGAGGTCTTGACAGACTGATATCTGCATATCTAGTCCAAGTTGGATCCTGACGATGAGACATCTGTTTTCGGAAATTGTAGCCCTAGAGCCTGAGGCTCAGTTTTGGCAGTCTCTGAGGCTCTAGTGAGGCAATGGAAGTTTTACCCCATCCAACTCAGTAGCAGCAGAGAGCTATAGAAACTTTGTTGAGGTGAGTGGGGGCAGAGAGGCTAGAAAAGTTACTCAGTGTCCCAAAGCACCCTTGATAGTAATTCACATGAGCAGCACTAACTCTCTTGTGCCTTGATTGAGTATTACTAGTACTTTAATTCTTTCAGGGTAGGAAATTATAGGATTTAGCATTGGAAGGGACCTTAGTGATGATTTAGTCCAGTGCCCTCATTTAACAGATGACAAAACCCAAGCTCACAAAGGTCAGTTAACCTGACCCAGGTCACAGAAGTTTTAAATAGCAGAACCATGATTTGAACTCTGATTTTCTGACTATAAATCCCTTTCCATTTCATCAGAAAGCCTGAAAGAGCTCATGAAAACTTGGGGAGGGGAGCAGGAAGAGGGAAGAGGAGTGAAGAGAATCTAGGGAGATGGAATTTTATTTTTTAATTTAATAAATTACATAGTGTCTGACACATAGTGCTGTTATTATTAATATTATTAAATTGAATTTAGTTTATTCCAAAATTTCTCAGCCCTGTCTTACTATCCTAGGTGTGTTCTATATCCCTAAATCCTCTCTACTCCGAAGTTTTCATGTGTTGTGTAAGGAGCACTGGATTTGGAGGAGAAGGGACCAGGGAAGGAACCAGTAGATAGGTAAAGGCTGAAGATTAGAGAGAGAGGGGAGATGATTGAGGGCACAATTGATGAGGATGGGATCTAGACCCCAAAAAGGAAAAATCCTGGACTTTCCCAGAGGCTATAATTTCCTGAGGCTATAATGCCATCAACTGGCCTTACATTGTGGCAGTACCCAACCTCTGTTACCCTTAACCTAGCCTGGCCCTCCATTGTCTTACTTCCCTATGGTTCCCCCCACCCCCCCGGACATTTCCTACCCTTAATCCTAACTAGGCTCCATTCTCCCTAGGCCACATGGTCCAGGTCCCAGGAATTCTGTTCACCCCAGCTTATTGGCCATTCCCATTCAGATCTTCCTTAGACTTCTCCAGTCACTCCAAACTACTTGGCCACTCCTAGATCCCTCCCACAGTGTTTCTATATATAAGACCCATCTTGTCTCCATTAAGGTGCTCAGATTCTTACATTCTAGCCAATAGCTCATTAATGTTCAGACTCTTTAAGAGTCTGCCCAATATGATGGGTGTTCTAATAAACCTTGTCTTTGGCTAAAAGAAGGCTTGGGTCAAATTCTTTTGGGGAGGACCTGTGTGTTGTGAATTTGGGGTCCCAGCACCCCTAAACCTCAACACAATAAGTTGGAGGAGCTTGTATATGGACTTAGGGATTGGCCTTGGCAAGGAGAAAGGCCACCTCTTTTTCAGAAACCTAAGGAAAGGAAGAATGGGAGATAATGTCAAAGTGTTTTGAGGTTAAGAGAATTGGAGAAGAGGGAACTTACATGGGATGTTCTCAATTTTCTTAGGAAAGTAAGAATGTGAAGTTCTAAGCTGAAAGAGTTGGGAGGGGGAAGAGAAGAGGGAAATATGAGAAGCCTGGTATTATTGCAAGAGTTAGGGAATAAAGGAAGTTGGTGATCTAGGTGCTAAACTCATTGAGAAGGAGGGAAATCACAATTTGGTTTGGGTAGAAATTTTGATTGAGTATACTCCAAGAAAGAAGGTTGCTGCTTAAAGGAAGTAAAGAGAGAGTATTGAAGTGACTGTGAGGAGTAAGGAGTATTCTGACACCCTCTTCAGGGAGGATATGGGAGAGAGAGACAGAGACAGAGACAGAATGAGAGAATGTATGTATAGCCAGGGCACAGTTTGGTAAATATTGACCTGAAATATAAAGGTTATTTAGTATTCTCCCCC